CAACATGTCTGTCTTATTAAATTGGAACTTTAAGGATAGCTCTGCCTTGGACTCTGATTTAATTCTGCATATTATTTGGAATGCTGACACGTGCATTGTAAAGTTGGCAAGCTTGAAAAAGAAACTGGTTTAAATTTATTATTTGTACCAGATAATAAAACCTTTGAAAACAAAGGTTTGAAGCCAAAATATATGTGAGCTATTGTTAATTGATAGGTGGAAACTAATCAAGGAGAAAAGCAACCTGGAATTAAGGAGAAACTTCCTAACAGGGAGGAATATTAATAAGTGGAACAGAAGTTGCCGTCAGAAATTGTGGGTGTTCTGTCACTGGAGGTTTTTAAGAAGAGACTAGACAGCCACTTATCTGAAATGGTATAGGTTCTCCTGCTTCAGCAGGGGGCTGGACTAGAAGACCTTCAAGGTCCCTTCAAACTCTATCCTGATTCTGATTTTATTTCACTCTAGCAAGCAGAGAGAGGTATTTCTTGATTGATGACAACTGAGCCCAAAAGTTCGGCTGCTAAGCAAGACATTTGTTAAGTGAGTTTGCCTCCATTTTACCACCTTTCTTGCCCCCATTATTAAGTGGAGCACTGCAGTTGTGAAATTAGCAAAACGGTTGTTGAATGAATGTGGATTCCCCAATAGTTTTGCTTGTCAGAAGATCGCAAAGGGGAACCACATGATCCCGGGACAGTCATAAATATGAGTCAGTTGCCAAGCGTCCAAATTTTGATCCTATGGCCGTAGGGAATGCTGCAAAGGTTATAAGTGAGGAAAAAAAGTGCTGTTGTAACTTTGTATGGTCACTAAATGGGCTGCTTTAAGTCGAGGACTACCTGTCCAAGGGGCTGCCTTAGAAGCCCCCAAATTCATACCTCGCGTAGCCTGCTTCGTAGAGGAATTGAGGCACTTGTGTGGTTTTCCCACAACCTGTTTCCCCGCATAGGATGATGATAGGATTCTCCCGCACGGCTTCCATTATCACCTGCTCTTCTCCCAGTATTGGAAGCTTCAACCTGGCTTCCTTTCACAACCAAGAGAAAGAGAGAATATTTATAAACAGAGTGGTAAGCCAAACTGTTAATTAAATTTCCACACACATCATTCTGGAGGTTTAATTACATTTCCACAGACATCCTGGAGTTTTAAAACCGCTTGTGGTTAATATTTCCACTCTTAAGAACTTCTTTCGTTGCAAGCTCCATGTCACTTCACATTCTCAGACCAGATGATTTCATTGCTTTTGGTTTAGCACCTGAGATGATTTAGAAATATATATAAACTAGCGCTATAAAGATGAAAATAAAGGTTCCCCTCATACATGTGTTAGTTGTTCCTGACTCTAGGGGGCTCATCTCTATTTCAAAGCCGAAGAGCCAGCACTGTCTGAAGACGTCTCCATGGTCGTGTGGCCTGCATGACTCAACCCCGAAAGTGCACGGAATGCTGTTTCCTTCCCACCAAAGGTGGTCCCTATTTTTCTACTTGCATTTTTTACGTGCTTTCGGACTGCTAGGTTGGCTGAAGCTGGGACAAGTAACGAGAGCTCACTCTGTTACGTGGCCCTAGGGATTTGAACTGCCAAACATATATATATGGCAGGGCAGATTTTTTTAGCCAAGACCCTCATCTCCAGAACCAAATACCTAGCCGACAAAGATCACCTGAAAACTGAATTACAGACTCTCACAACCGTATTAATCTCCAACGGATTCCAAAGAAAAGCAATTACCAACCTAATCCAAAATGAGACACTCCCCAAGAACAGAGACACAGAACAGGACAATGGCAATGCTCTCTTCAAAGGCACCACAGATAAAATCAGCAAAATTCTCCACAAGCACAATATCACGACAGCCTTCAGCACTGACCAAAAAATAGCCAACATCTTAAGAGACCCCAAAAACAAGATCCAGCTAGAAAACCAAGGAGTACGAAATACCATGCAAAATCTGCCCTGCAGCATACATAGGACAAACGAACAGGAGAATAAATGCACGCATTGCAGAACACAAGAACACAGTCAGAAAAAAGAAAAAACTTCCTCCCTTTCCCAGCACCTTAAAGCTACAGGACATGAAATTAATTTTGAAGGAGCCAGGTTATTCTACAACACAGAACACTTAAACAAGAGAATAATTATGGAAGCTATTGAAATAGAGAAACACTCCCACAACATGAATAAACATGATGGTACCTTCCACCTACCAGACATCTGGAAACCAGCCCTAGTCAACAAATAAGCCCTACCCACCACCCAGGCCATTACAACACAAAACAACAATAGACACACAGCCAGCACCAATCAACACCTATCTACCAATCATGATACAACCACACAACCAATCATTATATATATGT